TGAACCCACGCGCTGAGCCTCAAGCCTGTCAAGTCTCTATCGCCTGAGATCGGCTACAGGAATTGCCTGATTGGAGCCCGTAGTGGTACTAGGCGCGGTCCTGCTTGAAGCCAGCAGCCTCCTGGAGGTTGGAGGTCAGCTGCTGCGACTGCTTCGTCTTGATGTAGAACTGGCAACATCGATGGGATGTCGAATGCGTGCATCGCTTGGCAAAACCTAGCAAACACCTCGTTCGTTGTGTAGTATTCTTACAAAGCTGTATACCATGCAGTCCACCTGCCGAAACATCCCGGTTCCGCTTGCGACGAAGGGTGGGGTAGGGTAGTGGACAGCCACTAAAGGAAGGAGTCCAAGGTGGGACTGCAACTGCACAAAACGTTAGGTTTGGCCACAGAGCAAGAAGACATGCTTGATGTGGACGTATTGTGTACGTATCGAACACAGCCCCAGCTCAGCGCAAAGGCGCGGCGGTCTTGTCGAAACGCTCGAAGGAGTTCGCCAGGGCCTTCTTCCTGCGGGCCACCTGCGAGGGGAGGGATTCTGAGTCTTCCCAAGTTGGGATTGCAGGTGAGGAAATTTCGAAGGCTACAGCACAGCTAGCTGCAGGTCCCAAAGCTCCCTGGCGCACTGGTGCCTCCTGGTCGGTGCGGGCCTTGTAGACGGACTCGTCTCCAACCTCGCCTTTGCTCCATGGATGCTAATCCCTGTAGTCAGAGCCCCCTACATCCCAGCATCTTCGTGACATTCCGCTTTCGCACTATATCGATCAACGCCTTGGCGTTTCGGGGTTTCGGTTCTTGGGATCAAGATGCGCCATCACGAACAAAACGGAAATCATGGAAAGAGCAAAGTCACTGAACTGCGAGTACGGGTTGATCGGGTTGTCGTTCTGGTTGTAGACATCGGAGACACCGCCTGCGAGTCGGATTCTTGCCACTCGTGGAAGGCCTACACAAGTTGCATAGCAAGTTTTCAGTTCTGGTTAGTTGTTTTTCCCTCTCGCATTGCTGTGGAGTCTATGCCCGCTCGCGAGGTCTGGCTTTGGGGATATGTGTGGGTTGCAGCTTTCGCCTTCAGCGAAACCAATTAGATGAGAGGCAAAATGCCTAGCGTTGCTCTGTGAGCGGCTCTTTGCAATCGAATTTCGACCTGTCAGTTCGCCCCTTTCACCACCATCTTGCTCTTTCAGGTCCTTCCACTCAAGCCACAGATTTAAGATGCCATAGCAGGTTTCCAAACCTAACTACATCACACCAACCCAGCTTTGTGTGGAGGGCCTTTTTGCTTTTTTGGCAACTGGTTATGCCTTTTTAAGGCATTCGACCATTCTCACTCTCATTTCTGTTCAAGGGCGCTCTCAGTGCTGTGCTGGGTCCAGGCAGGACAGCGACCAAAAACTTATACAACTCCAGTCGCGACATTCATGCTCACCTGCCCGTGTAGCACCATTTGTCGTGAGCTCCATGGAGTGCAGCCTCCATTATGTCATTATTCTGCTCGTATCTTGCAAGTAGGGCATCCTCCGGTGCAGACAATTGGCCACCTGATTTCAAAACATTGAAGCCAGGCGAAAGCATGGGGTGGAAGCCCAGTTCATCAGTGCATCAGCAGCGTGACTGAAACGGGTGTCTCAAGTCGGTTCTGGTCAGTTATATATAGACAGAAAGGGTTGCGTTCAACAACAGTTTTGGATTGCGAAGAGCATAGATTACCGATGTCTGAGAGAAGGCCCGAAGCGTTTGTCTAGAAACACCCGGCGAGATGTGCTTGGTACTGTTTACGAACTCGAGGCTGGGCATCCTAAAGTTTCGATGACTGTGAAACTGCCCGCCCGAACATGGATAGAGTTGGTGGGTAGATGGCTAGATGAGGACAAGGCGCAGTGTCTACGAGAAGCTTTGAGAGAAGGTCGTGAGTGAAGAGCCGCTAATGCGGACTTGTATTGGAACAGGACAACCACAGGGCAATGTTGAATGAAGAGCATTTGCTGGCACAAGTTGCTCTGCCAATCCTGTCATCCTGCAACACATTAATTACGAAAGTCCGCCATGAAAATGCCACACCAACAGCATCTCGGCTCCCGCGTAAGCGCGTGCATAAACAGAAGGCGTGCTGGCTCCGCGCTGACCGTCCGAACAAACCTAGACCTGTCCACCATGACATTGCAAATACAAGCAGCAGACCTTACCCGGCCGAACCTCCGAGACCGAAGAAGGACAGCTTCGGGCTCTCTGCCTCCAATGCTGCGGACGTCCGAACCACACATCAAAAAGCTTGGGAAATCGGACCCTGCGATTTCAAGGACCACGTAGTGTCTGTCGTCGACTCGGTATGGTGGCAGATGTGGCACTCGAAGAAAGATTTGCATGGGAATTGAAAAGCCCTGTTGAGACTGGCAGACTTGCGCAAGCCGGAAGTCTTCCGCAAAATGCCCGAAAGATGCATCACTCTCCTCAAGCAAATCGTTCCTTACGCCTGCCTTAGAAATGCAACAGCTGAAGATGATCCTGGATTTTAGCCCCGTCCTAGCGCATGCCACCCTCAAAAGTCGCACAACAATCGCAAGTGCTGGGACACTAAACGCGAGCTTCTCACGGACCTGAGCTGGCCCGGGAGCTGCGACGCTGGCTGCCAGGAGGGCCGCGGCCATCGTTGCTGCGGCCTTCAATGTCAGGTCTTGATCTTCCCTGGGGCGCAGCTTGTGGTCTGACATGGGGGTTCTTCAAACGACGGCTATTGCAGCCCTGTGCCGAGGCGGCACGTTGCCCAGTGGTGGCTCCGCTTGTGGCTCAGCCAGAGTCACGACCGCTTGTTGATATGTGGAGACGTAATCTGGCAAAACAATAAACGTCCCGCGTCTTACGATTGCTGTATAAACCGTAATGGCCTGGTTTCGACAGCCTTAGGGCCTTACGTCCTCACATGTTTGACAAGGTCCCAGAAGACTCATTTTGCACTAGATATCGCCCATCGAAAGCTGTGAGGACCTGAACCACGATCTGGCATGGCACCAAGAACATCTTGGATGCCGAAAGTTTGGAACTACCAGTTGAGAGGAGCATCAAACGACTCTGAATTTGATTGAATGTTCAACGGAAACAGCCGCTTACGCCACGGCCTCGCCCCTCAGCTTCGGGGTTACGAAGGCATCCTCCTGGCGGCGACAGAGCCTCGAGTAGGAGGAGACTTTGCACAGTCGGCCCAACAGTTGTGTAGAAGACTGCCTCCCCGCGACCCGAGCCCGTTGATCTGGCCTCGAATTTCAGCTGACATGTACCATCCGAATGCATGGCGATCCTATAGAAGTAGGTACGGGTAAGTGGTTGAACTTAGTGTGGGTCGATACGCTCTCTCTTGTCCTGTGCTGACGTACAGGCCCATATTATGCCAAGCAGCTGCAAAACTGACACCACGCCGACCACCAGCAGGGCCTGTTACAGTGCTGGTGGAACAATCCAGCCAAGAACTGTGACTCCTGCGATTACGCTTGTGTCCATGAACCTGCCTTGGACAGCAGCGAGGTGCGAGCCATTATTGCTCTTCGGTTTGGAGGGATGGCACGAACAAGCAGATCCAGCTGGAAGCCGCAGAAGCTGCTGCAACCATCTTCTGCATGCCGGACACAACATCTCGTTATCATGAAGCGGTGGTAGAGAGGGAGTCTGACATCACCGGAGAGGCCCAAGGAACCTGACATCTGAATGGAGCATGTCAGCGGCATGTCTGCGGTACATATCCGCAGTGACTACGAATCATCACAGAGGTTGCACAGTTACTAACTTGAACTTCCAGCCTTCAAGCTTGAATCTCAATATGTACGCAGAACCAGCGCAAGTCTCCTCAGCGACGTGCCGATGGGTGCTGCCAAGGCCTCTTCAACGACTCTCGGTGTCTATAGCGGCCAAAAGACTTTAGGCTGGAAACACGTCAACAAGTGCCGCACAAGTTCAAGCAACTGCAGCGCATGACTTCAGCCGAACCGACATTCCCATACCGAAGTAAAGCGGAAAGCCACATCTTCCTCGGGCAGTGGTGTTGCACTGAGACTAGACCCTGCTGAAGGATCGTGAGCTGGAACACCTGAACACGAAAATGATGAAACCAACGGTCTGAAACGGATGCCTCGCTTTAGCCTGGCGATGTCGAACTTGCTCTGTCCTGCGCGTGCCTAGAATTTTGTCTTGCGAGCTGCCTTGACATGCGCGCCACTGCTTAAGTCAGAGTGCCTGGGGTGCATTGGGGATGCATCCACAAGTTAGTTGCAAGGCAAGGAGATGGTGAGTGGGGGAGGGCACTTTCGTGTGTCTTCTGTGGCCTTCGTGAGCCTGTGTTGCGCAGGTGTTCCGATTTCTGAATATCTTGAAGTATTTGCACGCTTGGGTTTGGCGAGCTGACATCCCGGAGATACTGTACGGAGTTCACAGACTGCCAAGGACGCACTTGCCCACAGGCCTTCCGAGAACCGTGAAGGATTCTTCAGATTCAGGGGTGGGTGCTGAAAGCAGCTGGGTCCCCGGTGTAGCGAAGCCCAGAAGTTGGTGAAGTTGAAGGTCAAGGCGTTCACCCCGTATTGGGTGTTTAGGGGACTGTAAAATCTGTGCACTGCACAGAGGGGAATGACTAAACAAAGGAATTCAAGCTATAGCGAAGTGGGTTAACAGCGAAGTGCAGCGTCAGGCCCTCCAGAAGCGATCACACCGCACATTCTGCGCAGGTCCATTCTGCTCAGGGCTCGAGTGTGCCGATTGGCAGGATTCAGCCTCCTCTAGCTCGGCCTGTGGCACGATCCAAAGGCACACGCACTTTTCGTCCCGGAGAAAGCACAGACTCGTCCCTACCCACGCATCCACACGATTGTTGCAGGCGTCTTCCTCCGCCGGAAACGAACCGATAACTGATCCCGCATCTAGGGCGGTTGTTCGTGCAGCGTCGAGGATCTGTACAACGGACTCGGGACAGTATGTCATACGGCTTCAAAAACACGCCGGGGCCATTCCAGCTCAGAACTTCACGAGATCCTTCCACTCCTGGCCCACTGCTGACACTCCGTTGCTGACTTCGCCCGATAATCTTAGATGCACTTCAACGTGAAGACAGAACCCACCTCGAGCCGACCGCAATATCCCGCGATCGCAATGGCAAAACCACGCACCCGGGCTCCACTGTGCCCGAAGGCCTTCAGCAGCTCCTTTGCGGCCTCGAAGTCCTGGGAGGCTCGTCCCCACTCCTTGGAGCCAACAGACGCTGTGGCTGTCGAGCATCGAACTGACACGGGTTTGGCAACCCACTCTTTTCTCCTCTTTTTATAGCTTCATGTGATCATAACCTTGTACGTACGTGAGAGAGCGATGCTGCCACCTCCCTCTCCCGCCCACCCCCTACAAGAGCCGAGACTCCTTGTTGCGGCCATCCACACCCACGGTGGAGATCTTCTGCGAGAATTCTCGGGCCTTGTTGTAAGCCGGAGAAGCTTCGGCACCAGAGAAGTACACCATGTCCTGCCGAAATGTTGAAGCTAGTTGGGGACTGCGTCGGGCCTACAGTCTGCAAGTCCCGATGCGTTTTGGCAGCTTTGTTGCTTGGCTCTGCGACTCTGCGACTCTGCCTCCTATGCATCTTCCGCCGTGGATGAGTTGGTAGGGAGTCGCCACGGCTTCTGTCCGACAGCTACACTTGTCTAGCTGCTGCGTCGGAGCTTGCTTTTACATTAAAAAGGGTCCGAGATACCAAGCCTACAAGCTCCATGCACAACTCACGAAGCCCATGACTTTCTGTCACCACCAACCCAACAACACCTCCGGTTGAAGACGCATAGTGGCTTTAGCTCTCCAGTCAATCGGCTGCTTCTGGTTTCACTTCAACAAGATTAGACTTTGTTCACTGGGCCCGTAGGATCTCCCAAGAACCGTACATCGAAAGTCAAGCAGCAAAAGCGTAGCACATGAGAACAGTTAGCCCTACCGCGAGGATGGAAAGTGCTTGCACGTTGAGCATGCATGACGGCATGCCCCTAAATCGTCACACTGGAAAACCGCCTGCAGCGACGCACATTGAACCCAAGGCGCTCCCGAACCTCAAACATTGGAGTCGCAACAACACCGTTTACGGCTGCATTGCACCCTGCAGCACGCCATAGAGCCGTTTCGAGCTGCATCGAACCCACGCCCTCAACCTCAAGCTGTCAAGTCTTAATCGCCTCAAAGCAGCTACTAGCATGGCCTGAAGCTCTTACTGCCGGAACAAGGTGTTTCCGCCGTTAAGTAAAGAGCCGGAAACTGTCAACCTGCATGCCGTTGTAAACCTGGCGCGCCTGGAGGAGCAGCATCTTGAGGAACCCATGTGCCCTAGCATCTTGAAGCCCTTGTGATACTAGACCCGGTCCTGCTTGAAGCCAGCAGCCTCCTGGAGGTTGGAGGTCAGCTGCTGCGACTGCTTCGTCTTGATGTAGAACTGGCAACATCCATGGGATGTCAATTACTTGCATCGATTGGCAAAAACTTCGTTCGTTGTGTAGCATTCTTACAAAGCTGTATACCATGCAGTCCACCTGCCGAAACATCCCGGTTCCGCTTGCGACGAAGGGTGGGGTAGGGTAGTGGACAGCCACTAAAGGAAGGAGTCCAAGGTGGGACTGCAACTGCACAAAACATTAGGTTTGGCCACAGAGCAAGAAGACATGCTTGATGTGGACGTATTGTGTACGTATCGAACACAGCCCCAGCTCAGCGCAAAGGCGCGGCGGTCTTGTCGAAACGCTCGAAGGAGTTCGCCAGGGCCTTCTTCCTGCGGGCCACCTGCGAGGGGAGGGATTCAGAGCCTTCCCAAGTTGGGTGAGGACATTTCAAAGGCTACAGCACAGCTAGCTGCAGGTCCCAAAGCTCCCTGGCGCACTGGTGCCTCCTGGTCGGTGCGGGCCTTGTAGACGGACTCGTCTCCAACCTCGCCTTTGCTCCATGTATGCTACTCCCTGTAGTCAGAGCCCCCTACATCCCAGCATCTTCGTGACATTCCGCTTTCGCACTATATCGATCAACGCCTTGGCGTTTCGGGGTTTCGGTTCTTGGGATCAAGATGCGCCATCACGAACAAAACGGAAATCATGGAAAGAGCAAAGTCACTGAACTGCGAGTACGGGTTGATCGGGTTGTCGTTCTGGTTGTAGACATCGGAGACACCGCCTGCGAGTCGGATTCTTGCCACTCGTGGGGGGCTACACAAGTTGCATAGCAAGTTGAGAGTGCTGCCGAATTATGCCATGTCTCCTGTCTGTCGCACGAGCGGCAGCAGCAAGCAATCTTACTTAGTTATAGACAGGAAGGTGTGTCGTTCAACGAAAAGGTTTGTATTGCGAATGAACTTCCGGTTGGGCGAGCGTAACACAAATATGCGAATCTCAGAGAAAAAGCCCGAAGCCGCGGAACTCCCATTCCACGTTCGTAGAGGGTATACTGCTGGGGGCTAGCAAAAATCCTGTCAAAACCTGCGCAGGATAAACCGCTCCATTGCCTGAAGGAATAAATGCGAGATGCGCCTATAAGATTCCTATAAGCCCCGTAGGGGCGTCAAGTAGAAGCGTGCTGCACCGTCGGTGACTGTGAAGCTGAATGCCCAGACATGGGTTGCAGATAGATGGCCGGATGAGTAGACTGGTCCGGAGTCTCAATACACAAAAGAAGAGCACTGGCTGGCACAAGTTTCTCTGCCATTCCGGTCATCCTGTAGGACATTCCCAACTCACTCAAGTCCCCGAAGACAATGCGAGACCAAGCGCATCTCGTATCCCGCCTAAGCGCGAGAATAAACTACCGGCAGGCTGACCGTCCGAACCTGTGCACAAACCTCGACCCCGCTCCACGAGACCTGCAACACCTCCGAATCCAACACTACCAGAAGGCCTCTCACATAACCCCGGCGGAACCTCCGAGGCCGAAGAAGGAAAGCTTCGGGCTCTCCGCCTCCGATGCGATTAGATCTGTCTGGATCAGGCATCGTCGCCGTTTAGCAGGTAGTTGGGGGTTTCTTTATCAAATTTAGCACGGGGCTCCATCGACTCGGTAAGGGTGACAAGGGAGACACTAGCAAGAGGCCTTACAATTGTGTGGGCTTCGGCAGGCACACTTAAGCCTGGCAGAAAATCATTCCGGATACCGGTGCGACTTGTAATTCAAGCGATTAACCTCTTTCATCATCTTAGGTTCTGAATGAGACGAAATGCTTCTCGTGATGTTTGCAAACATCCCGAAAGAAACTGTGCATCACTCCTGTTCCTCAAACTCAAGAGATCACAAGCCAAAGATCTGCTCGTCTGACAAGAGCTTGAACCACAACAGCAAAGCTTCTGACGGACCTGGGCTGGTCCCGGAGCTGCGACGCTGGCTGCCACAAGGGCCGCTGCCATCGTTGCTGCGGCCTTCAATACAATCATCTTCCATAAAGCCTTTACCCTCAGTTCTCTGCGACTTGATTATCCCACAGCTTGTTGTCTGGGCATAACATGAGTTTTCCTTCAAATGAAGGCTGTAGCACCCCGTGCCGCTACCAAAGAGATGTGTTTTGGTTGGGCACATGGCCATGGCCCGGAAGCTCATTGTCGTCAAACCACTGGGAACGTCTTGCAACGTTCATTATCACAAGTTACGCTCACCGAAGGCTCTGCAAGGACACCGATTTATAGCTGGCACAGGAGCCGTGGATGCCGAAACCGTTGGAAACTCTCCGGCAGGTTGAAAGGAGCAGGGAACACTCTTGCATCGTCTCAGAATATCAAACGACTCTGACCATTGACTATGCAAATTCAACGGAATCAACCGCTACGCCATGGCCTCGCCCCTCAGCTTCGGGGTTACGAAGGCATCCTCCTGGCGGCGAAAGAGCCTCAAGTGCGAGGAGACTTTGCGCAGTGAGCCAGACTTTCCAAACAGCTGTTGGAAGAATGCCTCCTGCACACCCGAACCCACTGATCGGGCTGAGCGAACTTGAGCTGACATGTAGTATCCCAATGCAGGACGACCATCGGACAGGACGTTAACTTCGTGTGTTTGGCGATCTGTTCTTGACATTTCTGGACCCGTGCTGCTCACAAATACAGGGTGTGAATTAGAGCGAGAGAGCGAGAGAGAGGGTGAGAGAGAGAGAGAGTGAGAGAGTGATATATTGAGACTATAAAAAGCCTGACGCCCTTGCCCAGCGGCTGCAAAACTGACACCGCGCCGGCCACCAGCAGGGCCTGTTGCAACGAAGGTGGAACATGGTGGAACAAGCTGGTCAATAGATCGCAGCTATGACGCTCCTGCAAGTCTTCTCTCGACTTTCCCACCGATGAACCTGCCTTGGACAGCAGCGAGGTGCGAGCCATAATTGCTCTTCTGGTTTGGAGGGAGGGCGCGAACAAGCAGATCCAGCTGGAAGCCGGAGAAGTTGCTGCACAAGGACAAAAATCTTCTGTATGCAAACACAAACCAACCTCAACATCATGAAGCATCACATAGTCACAAGGGCGCCTGAGACGTCACCGGAGAAGTCAGGCGGGCATGTTGTACTCTCCACATTGATAAGCTGCGCATCCACAATAACTATAAACACAAAGGTTGCAGTTGCACATCCGAACATCCGACCTTCAAGCCTGAATCCAATGCAGAACCACCGCAGCTCTCCTGACTGCGCCGATGTCTGCTGCCAAGGCCTCTTCCAACTTAGTCTCAGTGCCAAGTGCTTAAACTCGCAGCATCTCGCAGCGTGTACGCTGGCGAAACGTCAGGCAGCTGCAGCTTGTCAGTGTAAGTTGCACAAGCCTTGGCCCAGTCGACACCCCCACATCGAAGTGAAGCCACATGTCTTCCCAGACCACTTCTCAGCGGAGACGCAGTGGTGCGCTGAGACAGATCCTTCCGTGAGTTCTCAAGCCGGAACACCGGAACCTCATAATCATCTCGACCGAACTCCTCTGCTTGGAAGCCAAAAGTCTGAAATGGATGCCTCCTCTAGCCTGGCGATGTCGAACTTGGTCGCTGAATCTGCCAGGAGGAGGTTGAGGCGAGTCGCAGAATGAACGAGAGGAGTTGCCATGACGTGAGTAAGTTCCACTAGTTCCGATTGCATGGAGGGCGTTGGGTCCGTTGCACCGACAAGCTGCAGGGTGGTGCCGTGTGACCTGCAAGTGGCTTCTTCGTTGTTTTCGAGTCTCGTTGTACATGTTCCAGGAAAGACTTCAAGACGGCATGGGTATGCCGCGCGGCAGGCCTGCCTCGATGATGAGCTCTCCGTGCTGGGTCCAGGCAATGGCTGGCGTGCCTTGTCTTCGGGCGTATCCAGCCAGGGCGTACCGCAAGTGCGAGTGTGTATCTGTGCGTCTCTTTCTGTGGGGTCGCGCGGCGTGCAGACACGACACTCAGGACCAATAGGAGCTGTCGACGACCACCTACTACCAGCACAACTCTCAAGCTTCAGCGCTCTGATATAGCTTGACATCGACATATAGTACACGACCAGCAGCACATGTGACGCACGCACTCGCACTGGATTTTCCAGGCTCGGAGACCCACATGTTCAGGCCAGCGTCCGTCCAAAGGGACGCCGTTCATCTCCGCCAGAGCCGCGGCAATTCTTGCCTGCTTTCAAGATGCCGTCGCAGCATCTCTATAGAGCTTATATTTGAAACCACAACTACTGCACAGCCCCGTGCGTCGGATTTTGCAAGAGAGCGGGCACGAGACTATCTGAGCGCCCTTCAGCTACACAAGGTAGCGATGCTAACAGCATGGCCTCAAGAACAGGTGGCGCAGCCATCGGAACTCCTGAGCACACCCCCCTTGAAGCATCCCAAAGCCGCCCGGCTTGTCTGAGCCGAGAAAATAGTGGTCGCATCTTCAGCATTCAACTCTCATCTTCAAGATAAGACACGAAGAGGGTTGGAATGGACTTTACGGGACGATCCTGCGTGATTTAGGAGGGACAAATAAATGCTTTGGTACATCGGGCTCAACACACTTGCCGAGCATAGAGAGACAGCTGCCTTGGGCTTGTATGCCAGTTGACGGAAGCATTGCATTTGCAAACGATATGCGTTCAATTTCGGAACGGTTCCTTGGTGTTGTGGGGGGCCTTGGATCATTGCTGGAAGAGCTGGTCCGGGATACCACTGCGAAGACACGCAAAGTGAGCATGCCAAGTCATCAAGTGACAGGCCTCGCTGTCCCGCAAATCCACCAAGCGCAAACTTTTGGCTACTCGCCTCTGCCAAGCAGCTCAAACATTCATTGGTTGCGGCAGGACGAGGGCTTTATGCTGGAGAGCCGCGCGAAATGGAAGCTACTGTCGGTGTCTTGCTTGGTTGGGGCTTTGAGCGAATGTCGATGCGGGATCGTCACGTAGAGTCAGTCAAAGGTCCAAACTCCGATCGGAACACTCGTGAAGTGAGAACCGACAGCTTTTGCACAGAAACTGCAAATATCATGCTTCGGAGCTCCTTCTTCAATTGCCTACGATCAACAAAGGACCGTCTACCCTTGCTAAGGTCTAAGGCTTCGTCAGCAGCTCCCAGCATTGAGCCCAAGGACATGAGGCCACTGGAGGCCGAATGCATACAACACCGCCTTCCGGTCGAGCAATAACATCTGCCGATTTATGACAATGGACACTCGGAAATCCAGAGGCCGCAGCTACCGTGGACGAGCATTGTCCGACCACAGACCCCGTGGTTCAACAACAGCTGCTGCAAGTTTCGCCCGTTTCGCTTCAGTTCCTTTCTCAGCACCTTCATACATGGTAGCCGATAGCGAAGAGAATCCAGCCCTTACTTGTTCCAAGGGCTCCACTTTGCTGCAGATTCACGCGAACAGGGGAACCTACACGACGACCTTGCATTATATAACTGTATGGTCAAGGCAACGTTTAAGGTCGATTTGAAGGTGGGAGTTCAAAATAGTTAGCTTTCCGGAGGAAGTCTTTTGCAAGAAGAGGCAGCACAGAAGTGGTACAAGTGGACCTGTCATAATTACAGCTTGGTGCCTACATACTCTTTGGTTCACAGATGGGGCAGTTGGTGATGATCTCACCCGGCAGATCTTCAAACTCGCCGAACCCTGAACCCTGCGCAACCATCATTTCATCGCTGTCGATTGGGTCTGGCCAGCTTCGCTTCTGTTTTGTTTGGAGCTTCGAACCTAGTAGTCGCATACGCTCCCACAAGCAGACACTTGCCAGCCACCTCTCATCGCTGCCGTTCTTGCCACCACCGGCGTGCACCTGCTGTCGCCCTTTACATGTGATGCTCAGGAGTTGCGAGAAGTTACTCCTCTTGGATGCGTCATCACTCCTTCCTGTTGGGTGTTTCGAGGATTGTCCTTGAAACGCTTCGCCAGCCATTCACTTTCAAGTTGGACAATACTGAGGCAGTAAGCACCCTTCGATGATAAATCTTACTGATGCATCCACCCTCGGGCCCGGTCTAGGGCTTGCAGAGTCCAAGTTTGCTGATTTAGGGAGCTCCGACCCCTACTTGCTCGCAACCGTCTGTCAGGATCCCCCTCACAGAACCCGGGCTTTGCGCCAGGTACCGTCATGTGTCACGCATAGCAGGAACATGACCACTTTTCTGCCAAGTTCCTGCTGTCATGTGCTACAGGCACGCGGATGCCCTCTGCTAGCATGACAGCATCAGAAAGTATGAGAAAGCTTATCCAGGGACACCCATCACCACGTGACAATGGGATGATGCGTAGCAACGGCCGATTTTGTTGGCCCTCGCACGCGACCAAGTCAGGCGCGGTTTCCAGTGAACGCTAGCAAACCACTGGCAACTGCGTGCAGCTCACGAGCCAGATATTCACTGCACCTTAGCCTTAAAGTTCGAGAGTAGTTCATGCAACTTGAAACATGCACTTGTAAGTTTGTGGGAGACATCCGCGTGTTCAAAGGTCCACTACCGTGGACCACAAAGCCATCTTCGACGTGCAACCTTTCACCGCTCTGCCCTGCGCCGGACCATGAGGTCGGAGACCGTTGGCCGGTTCACGGAACCCGAAGTCCGTCATTCAACAAGTGTAGTTGTCAAGCAGAAGGAATGACGCAGAATAGGCCCAGTCAATCATTTCTGTCCCTGCGTGCATGGTGCCAGGTCGAGTTGGATACGGTTTCACCCGGGAAACTGGCATAGCGTCCGCTTGCAACTTCCGACGAGGGACAGCGTGCCAAGCTGGCCCGCAGTGAAAGGAAGCAGGACACGGCACAGGCGCTGGTGGCCCTTGCACCATGCTTCAGGTAGTCTCGTGTTCTGCAAGTGACCAGCGGTCAGCTTGGGTTCACGGGACTGGAACGCGCAATGTACTTAGGACGCCACTTCATCTGCACTTGAGGACATGCTACTGCTACGGTCACTTCCCGTTAACTGCGGGGGCGTGC